TATATATCTTTTATAGTGTGTGTGACATATAAGAGATATGTTTGACCCGTGGGCAACCCATGAGCCACTTGCAGTGAGATTTAATAGAATTTTCTCGGTCTCGACCCAATAATATAGTTTGGTTGCTGGCATGGGGGAATGGAGCTCTAGGAGGTGGCAATGGAGATTAGATTGGCGTAGATCATGGTTCGCTTGGGAATTAGATTATGTCAAGGAACTAAGGGAAATCTTAGAAGTTGCAATTCTGAGGGAAGATAGGACAGATTGATGGGAGTGGATGCTTGACGGGATTGGGGTATTCATTGTAAGGTCTGCATATATAGCTCTACTAACACAAGTACTAGGAACCCAACAAATAAGGTTCACATCTGTCGTGTGGAACATCAAAATCCCACCAAAAGTTAAAATCTTCATATGGAGAATGTTCTTGAACACTTTGCCCACAAAGGAGCAATTATTGAACAGGAATGTTGCATTACAAGCAGATCAACAACGTTACGCACTAGAAACAATTCACCATGTCATATTCTCGTGTTGCTATGTCAATAGAGTGTGGAAACAGTGGCTGCAGCTACTGCAGAGCCCGTCACCCCTGTGCCACGTCGCATTTACCAATTTCTTGGCTCCACCCTCCATAATATCCTCTAAAGAACAAACAGAAAGATGGTGGGTATGGTGGGCTGCAATGTGCTGGTATACATGGAAAATGAGAAATCAGTGTGTCTTTGAACAAGGTCAATTCGATGGTCATAAGTTGGGACAACAGGTGCTAATGTTCTCATGGTCTTGGCTATCAGCTTTTAACAACTCATTTTCTTATTCCTTCACTCAATGGCAGCTAAATATAGGCCTCTGCTTACTCGGGTCAAGAGCCTACGAGTAACAGGCCTGGTCGGATGGTGATGATTAGGAATGGTGGCACTTGGTATAATTTGTAGCAATGTATGTCGGGTAGACTGGGAGCTGGTGATGGTTTTAGGGGCATCCTGGGTAACTGATGGAGGGACCCAACGTTCAGTGTTAATGTTGAGGGATAATGGTAGCTGTCATGCCATTCATTAGGATGAAGGTATGGGGCTGTGTTTGAAAGTTATGCAATCCATTATATAAATACATAGGTGAAATGACATATGGTAATGCCATGAGTCAACAGGGGCTTCCACACGTAGTGCCACGCAGACCACAACCTCCTGCTACGAAGCATGTTGTGGCAAGACTATAATGAGCTTGCTAGAAAATACTTACTGTGGTTTGCCTGACGTGTTCCAACTATGTTATATACTTAGGGTCAAAGGTTAGTAAATTACCTAGAGTAATGTGGATATGGTTAATTTGATGTGGGAACTTGCAAAGGGTAGATTATATTATTCCTAATAGCCACAAAATCTTGTACATGGGTTATGGTACCCCTTGTACCAATACTATATATATTTTACTTTATTTGTTGTTCAAAAAAAATCATCGTTGAGATTTCCATTGAAATTAACTTTTGTTCTTGTTATAAATTATTTTAATTCTAACAACAAACTCAAACACGGCAAGTATACCGGCCGTACAAGTAGTAAATTTAAATCGTATCCACAGAGATTAGTTAGGTAAAACAAGCATTTAATGACTATTTGTGACTAAAGAATAATTCCAATTTTTCATAGACTGTCATGCAATTGAAGTAAAGGTTATGACTTGTTGGAATTTTAAAACTATAAACTAGACTTAAATGAATTAATTTGTGCTACCTATACTAACAACATCCATCTGCTTTTCTGTAGCTTATCTCATCAAAACTTCACAGTTAAGCGTGCTTGACTTGGAGTAATATAGGGATGGGTGACCTTTTGGGAAGTTTCCCAAAAACTATGTAATTAAAGACAAAACATGCTGAAAAGTGAAGTATTGTGAAATAGAATCCTTGAGAGGCCAAATATGAGTGTTTCGTAGCGACCGAATTTGCGACGCCTATAAAATTTAATAAAATAAAAAATAAATCTTTAGCGACCGATTTATTCGGTCATTAATTTGGTCCCCATACACATCAGCGACCAAAATCATTGCAACCATTTTGCGACCGAAATTTTCGGTCGCTAAATAGCAACCAAAATTTTTTTGGTCGCTATATAACTTTGCGACCAGGGTTTTTGCGACTACTTAAATTCAGTCGCTAAGGTAAATATCGACCAATTTTGGTGGTCGCTAAATGCCATTTTTTTGTAGTATCAACTAAATTCACCTCAAAATCACACAAGGTGATCACATGATGAAATAACTTGAAATACTATTATCGATATTCATGTTTGAGCTTGTAGATGGATTTCTTAAGTTTGCAAACTAATAAATTCGTTGAATCCTCTAAAACAAAGTTTTTCAATTACATCATATAAATTTTCTCATCAATTTACCATTGAGAAACATTATCTTTACATCCATTTGATGTAACTTAAGATTGAGCACTAATGTCTTTATAATCCTAAAAGAGCTGCACTAGAAGAAACTAGAGAAAAAATCTCTTTATATTCAATATGCCGTCTTTTTATGTAAATCCCTTTACGACAAAACGAGCCTTAAACCACTCCACATCACCTTTTGAATCCCTCTTAGTCTTAAATATCCATTTGGAATCAATGGGTTTTGCACCATCTGACAATGGAACAAGACCCCAAATGTCATTGTCCTTCATGGACTTAATTAATCTTTTCATTCATGGCATCAATTGACTTTTGAGAATTAGAACTTTTCATGGCTTGACGAAATTTAATTGGATCATCTTTAGGGATGGCAAAAATACCCACCCGCAGGTATCTATGGGTAAAATTTGCTAGGGATAATAAATGGATAGGCTAATTGGGTACCCGGGGATAATGGGGACGGATAATTTTTTACCCGTTTATAAACGGGGCGGAGGCGGGTATGATGATATCCATACTCGCGAGTACCTGTTTCATAATATTTCTTAAATATCCTAATTATCCTTGTACCACATAACCCTAAAACTACACTTTCTCATCTTATTTTCTTTCCATAGAATTATGTTGGATGTAATTTGATTAATTTTCTAGATTTGGTTGGACCAATAAGATTATGTATTTTAAGTTGTTTACTTTCGTTTGGAATTATGAGATTGAATTATTGTAGCTTTGTGATATGAGACTTTCACTTACTTGTATGAGATTGATTTACTTTATAAGTTATTGATTATCTTGCATTTTTATTATTATTTCAACAAAATTAACGTTAAATAAAATTTAAAATTAAAATTAAATTTTTATTTTTAATATTTCAATGACATTAAATATAAACTTAAAATTATTTGAAATATAATTTTTTTTAATTTCTTAAAAAATTTATAAATATCCGTGGGTATTTAAGAAATTCATGGATACCTATTTAATGAATACCTGCACAGATATGAGATAGGTATAGGACCAATTTTCATCCAACGGGGCGGGGATAGGTTTACTATATTACCCGCCCCCATGGGGCCATTGTCATCCCTAATCATCTTCCATCAATCCAATTCCAACCTTATGTTCTTGGAGAAATACAACATATTTATATGGTATTGCACTTCTCCTTTCTCTAGTGAATTTTCTTAATGATCTTAATAATCTTAAACCCTAAATTTTGACAACTTATTGAATTCACAAATATTTTACAAAAAAATTTAGTGTATAATTTTAATAAAATATATTTTAAAATTAATTCTATTTTCTTCAAAATTATATGATATTTATTTATTCATAAACTCACGCATCACAGGGAGCTAATATCTAGTTTTAATTAAATTCACTAATTAATTTAGTATGTCAAGATATAACCCTATCGTGGTATTTTGCTCGAAGCCATTCGATTTGGTGTTTGTTTTAGATATATAGTGTTGATCTTAAATTTTAGACAGGAGAAATGATTCTTCGAACCTTAACATTCGAAAAATCTTCTGAAAGTTTAAAATTTCAAAATATTAAGATTAAAAAAATATTTTATTTGAAATTATTGACACATATAAGTTATTGGCTGATTCGGAAGATAATTTTAAAGATTTTTCGAAAGATATAACATTCTTCGACAGACAGTTGTGTTAGATTTGCAATATTTTTTATTCTTTACTCCAAAAGGTAGATCAAAATTTAAATTTAAGAGATTAGCAAAAAGAGGAAAACAACACCAATAAGTAATATAAATGATAAAATAAAATAAAAAAATCACTCCTCAATTTTACACTCAATTTACAAGTTTTTAGATTTTTTTCTACAATCATAACAATCCATTCTCACATTTATTGCTTTATTTTTCTTTCTATCTTTGTCCTATCTTTAAGGGTAAGTTAAAATTACTTTTGATAATTTTTCTACTGGAAATAAAAAGTATTTTTCAATAAAGCCCTCCAAAATACTTTTAAATTTATATCAAAATAGGTTTAAAGATATCATAAATCTTGTTATCAAACAATCTTTATCTTTGGTGATATATAGCCCTAGCCATGGTTCTAAATTAACATGTATTGTAGATGCAATATTGCTATTGTGGTACTCCCCACAATCGCAAAGACTCACAATTGTGGTGTGTTTTTAAATCAACAAAAATTTCACAATGTAACTGAAACACAATTGTGATAGATTTGTAACACCATTTTTTTTTTTTTTTTTTTTTTTTTTGAAAAACACACATAGATTCAAGTTTTAATCTTATAATCTAATAAGTTTGATCATATGAAATGTTAAGAAAGAATAAAAGGCAACTATAATAATGATTGGTTGAAATGTTGGAAGTGCATTATGTATTTTAGGAAAGATAGAAAGGGACTTGGAGTGAAAAATTAAAATAAAAAAAAGTTTGATTAATTTTTATTATTATAGATATATTTATTTATGTTTAATATAAATATATAATAATTTCAAGTCTCAATACCTATAATTCTCATTGTAATAATTGCAATAATCACAACTACGGTAATCACAGCTAAAACTGCAGTAGTACGTCACAAACTGCAACCGCAATTAAGAAGCATGACTCTAACACTCAAGTTTTATTTGTGAAATGAAAAGAAATACAACCATTATAATCTCGGTTCTCAATCATATTATTGATACAAACTAGTTGATCCTTGCAAAATCAAGAGACTTCTTTCCAGCATGAGCATTCCCAAAGAAGTTGTTCATGTAATCTTGGAACACAACTTCCCTATAAAGAGCCAACCCATCTTTCTTCACCACTTCTGGCAGTGGACCTATCCTCTCTGTAGCTATTGGCGCAGTAAACACCGGAACTGATACCCTAGATTGGGTGCTAGTTGCCCTCACTCGATGTTCAGCACTCTTGAACTTCCCATTGCTCAGTATCTTACATCACCATAAAACAAGTTTATCAAAAAGAAAAATTAGTATATATGCAGTTATAGTTACAACTTATAGGCTCTTTATGTTATCATTTAATCACATATCAACACACACATATATATATATATATATAATAATTAACTTAAAAGGGTGTTTTTAGTAATTTAATTGGTTAAGTAAAGAAAGAAAGAAAAAGGAAACTTTTATACTGACTAAGACACAGCTTCAAGCAAATGAGACTTATAGAAAGTGAAAACAACAAAAGTGAGGTATATACCAAACCTGTAAAGTATCACCAATATTGATGGATTTTGATTATTTCTAAATTTGGGTCTTAGATTTCAGGACATATATCAAACCTGTAAAGTATCACCAATATTGATGACAAGAGCTCCCGGGATTGGTGGAATTTCCAACCACTCTCCTTTTCCAGCATCATTTTCTTCTTCCACTTTGACATACAAGCCTCCAATGCCATCTTGGAGTAGCACTGTGATAGCTCCCATGTCAGAGTGACGCCCTACACCCACTGTGAGCTCTGGATTTGGACATGCTGGGTAGTAGTTCATGTTTACCATCTTCATACCAAGAAGGCTCTCAACTTTTGAATCTTCTATTACAACTCCAAGCTTACCTATCAAGATTTCCACAATGTCTCTAACCATCTTAGATGACAACTTCAAATACTCAAGTGCAAATTCCCTGAAATATAAAGAAGGATTTTATTATTTAAACACTTAACATTTACAAACACTCAAGTGACATCTATATTTATCTCTCTCTTCTTGAAATATCAAATCACTTACAAATAATCCATGTTAGTGTCATTTGATCACAACTATAATGTATGATAAATTTGTTAATTTTTACAAATAATTGCCTTAAAAGTCATATCTATTGTGAACTATGGCGTGAATAAATTTTAGACTAACAAACTTCAATATATTTCTAACACTGTTTAATCATTTTCTTATTATTTCAAGTATGACAGTAAATCATTGAATTGTTTAGGAGGTATTTTGTAGAGAGAGTAGGGTACAAGGAAGGTCATACTTGCACTGATTAGGCCAATATTGAATAGCTTCTTTATCACTGTTATATACCATACTGATATAGTCTTTCCATTCCAAGGCCTTCTCTTTCTCTGGCACAAAGCTAGTCCCATATTTTACCTTAGGGCTTGGACTCACCCCAGTGCAGTAAACAACTTTCTTCTCTGGTGGCAAGTTGAAGAATGTGTGTGCAGCATCTTTGAGTGATTCCAACAACTCCAAAGGAACACCATGATTCACCACCTGAAAGAAGCCAAGAGTCTCAGCTGCTCTAACAATCTCATCCACCACTTTCTCATGCTCAGCTCCATTCAGCTTTGACAAGTCAATGGGTGGAGCATCACATATCCTTGAATCTTCCTTCTTGATTCTTTCCTCTGGGGGTTGTATGTACCTCTCTGGAACATCTAATACACCTGAGTCTACCAACCCTTTCACGCCATTGCCATCTCTGACAATAAAGTCATATAAGGAATTTGAAGTGTTGAAACTTGATGTCATGGCTAAGTAAAGTTTGGGTATGAACTAATGGTTACTTGTAAGGTACTGTGCAAATAGATATGATCCGGTGGGAAAGGTTTAGTCCCTATATAGTGGATCTGTGTGGTAGGTGTTTCTATGATCTGAATGAATAAATAAAAACTTGTTGATCTGTTAATTGGGCAAGATTCACGGCTTCAAAAGGCAAAACATTAGGCAAGAGTATGTATTACATATATAATAAGTATCTTGCATCTTTAATAGTAACACTAATTAAATATCGAAATCATCGTGATGAGACTCAGAACTTATTTAGATACAAATTAAAAAAAAAATAGTTTTTTTTTTTATATATAAAAATAACCCTTATAGAGAATCTATAAATAATTTTTCTAGACTTGTGTCTATGCATAAACTTAAAAAAAATTAGAGCAGGAATTATATTAGGACTTAAGAAAATGGAGAAAGGCATGAAGAAAGGCACTGCAGTGGGCGATTTATTTGATTATTTTACGCACTAAACGGAGAATACGGAATATCTATCTATATTTGGAGGCGACTTTTCATTTTTAGCTAATTAATTAATTATTAGATGATAGGAATGAATTCAATACAAACACTCTCAATGAACTTAAAATAAATCAAGTGTGAATAAATAATAAACTTACTAGCATGTAGAATATGGCTTTCTTCTTGAGCGGAATTTGGAAGATCAATGATCGAAGTCTTGTTGATTGTCAAGTATATCCATCAAAAGAAATTCTGTCTTTTTGTCAGCTCATTAAAAAGCTTTCAAATTAAGTAAATACTATTATTACAAGAAAAGATGTGCCAGCAATACACCATAAACATTCTCATTTTAATATACACATTTTTATTGATTAGAATTTATTGAAATATATAAAATTAGAATAGAAAATTATTAAATAGGATATGAGATTTAATATTTTTTTTTTAATAAAATTTAACTATTTAAAGAGAGTATTTAAAAAAGTGTGTCAAAGAGAGATTAATCATTATTTTTGATGATAGATATTTCATATAAATATCGTAATTATTAAAAAATAAAGAATATATTATTAGTATTTTTCATACAAACGACGATGTTTCCAAACGAACTGAAAATAAGTGTCATTTATTTCTTCTACGTACATTTCGCCTCAAATCTTTTTCTGTTTCTTTTTTTCTTTCATGCCATATTGCCCTTCAGGTTAATTATTTTTTTTTTCCTTTTTTTTATATATTATTTCTCGCATTGGGTGTATATATATTCTTGATGAAGTGTCAAAATGAGTTTTATTCTATCCATTTTTATGTGTTTTTCGTTCAATCTTTATAGCTAGAATGGGTCCTAATTAACGTTGGATAATTCTACCACGTTGAAGGATTTGCTTCATATGAATTCTAAATTCTAATAATCGACTTAAAGCGATTTCACGAGATTGATGGCAAATTTAACAGTGATTTGCTCCTGGAAACGAAGGGAGGATAACGAATTTTAATGGTGTCATTAAGGAGTATTTGAATTTGGGCATCAATTTATAGCTTATTTTACATTCATTCATTTATATATATATATA